TATATACACACATATATACACACACATATATATATACATATACATATATATACATACATACACATATATATAAATATATAACTTTCATGTGATTTACTATTATTAGTTGCGTATTATGCAATACCTTGAGAAAAAAACGTGTCCTAATGGAAAAACCCAAAATGTTACCACTTGGCTTTATAGCTCAGTTGGTAGAGTATCGGAACGATAATAGGAAGGTCTGGGTTTTGAATCTCAATGGGGACACACGCTCGCCCGGTGGAATCCAATAGCAAAAAATGACTTTCATGGGAAATTCTAACGCGATAGCACTGTCTGCAACCCCCCCCCCTCCCCCCGCATCTGTAAAGTACATTGTAATCAGTACAGTAATATATTACCATATTAATAAATCCATGTGGTTCTCTCTCTTGGATAGCAAGAGAATTAACAATATTAGATGTTTAAAAAAGGCAAACACACGTTTCTTAGGTGACAGATTGGCATTATTCTTTATTTTCAAATGACAATAAAGATATTTGCTGAAACAGCACAATCTGGTAACACTTGCAACAATATAATGTATTGAACAATTGTTTACGATCTGTTCATTTGATCAATGCATGTACAGTAATGGTATTAACCTTTCAAATTGATAAAACACACTTTCCCTTCACCGTAGTAGTGATGGTAGTAACATATCCATATTGCGCAATGCCTAAGAGCAACAAATCACCCTCCTCTGAATTTCCAATTAATGTAAAATTATTTTCAAGTAAACACTTGGACGAACAAAAAATAATATTAGGCTTACATGCAGTGGCTAGTTTTCAGGGTAACATCTTAATCATAGGTTACATTTAGAGTTAAGATATAAGCCAGGCATATGTCAAGAAGCCTTGTAATATTCATATACTTACCCTAATGCAGGCAAGTTAACCCAGGCAAGATGCCAAAATTAACTCACTCTTTCCAAGGTGTTTGCAAGGTATTTGCATGTGTCTTGCTGTAACCTTAGGTCAAAATGTCTTACATAGTAGTAAAGTGGTCTGGATAATATTTCATTGCCAAGACAACTTTGAATAATGCCAATGTAAAGATGGCTAAGACACAAGCCTGGATTTCAAAGCAATTAACCTGGAGGCAAAATTTATGCTTTATGTCAAGTCTGAATATAACCTTTGATATTTAAGTTTTCGCCTCAAATTTTATGAAGGGGAAATACAGTTGCTTATAATATCACAAACTATCACAAATGTACCTTCCCATTCTGTTTGAATTTGATGAAACATGACATTTGGACCCAGAATAATGAACTACAGTATATAATTACAGTACTCTATTATTATTAAATTAGCTTTGGAAAGGTATATAACTTCGTGGGTTATAGATTTCTTAAATCCATTAGAATCAATTGGAGGTGTGGTATTTCACAACTGAAAAAACTAGGCTTTTAAACTGTTGTGAGCATGCACAGATTGCAAAGTTTATACAACATCAAACACATAGTAAACAGTTACAAAATCTGCCATGCAAACAGTCTCAAAGAAATAACATTGTATTTGGTCATATATTATATGATAAATAGTTTTATATTATAAACATAATACACTTAAATTTGAACTGACAGCTCCAGACCTAATGACTTAATTATGAAAGTATTAACTAGCAATTTTGTCGGTTTTATTGTCAACACACATTTAACAGTTATACACCGTTTCCACAGAAGAACTTGACAAGAAAGTTAAGCAACAACCATCCATCATGTGTAGCCACAGTAAATATAAAAATTTAAAAATCTCAATACGACAGTATCATGAGCTTCCCAGAAGGCCGGTACCTGTAAGAAATTCAACAGATTCTTAAAAATTAACTCTCTATTATTCTTCATCATTATGTACTTTTCATAAAATTTAAATATTAATCAACAATAAAGGCAGCAACAGCAATGATGATGATGACATTAGTTTGTGACAACGGACCTTTTTCCAAATTCTCAATTAAATTTAAGAACTGACCAATCAAAACATGGCCTAGAATATGTGCTTGTAATACACAAACACTGTGTTTATATGTCTTTATGCTGTAGTTTTGTTGCCCCTTAGCAAAGTTATCCAAGTGGCAGATTTTGGAAGAATGGTCTAGTATCAAAGCACTACTTAATATGCACAAGGCAAGACTTTTTTCATACCTTGTTTCACGAAAACGTTGCTCGCCAATATTGATGATTGCGAATGAAAATAACATTTTATTTTTAACCAATTATCGTACTCGCCACTACGAAAAACTGGAAATTTTAGAAAATATAAAAGTTTTTCTTTATTTTCATTTTCCATTACACCACTGCTGCCATGAAATCTCCCAGAAATAAGATATACATTTCTTCCAAATTATATAAATTTAAAGTATTTCATTTGTTTACATTCAACAATAAAATTATATAGTTTGCGAAACAAGGAATAAAAAAGTCTCTCCTAATACAGACAACAATTTTCTGTTAACCGTGCTCAAAATAAACGATTATTATCTGGATTACCATTAGGTTAAAAATGTAGTTTGACTGACATTTTTTTATTTTTTAGTTTTATTAGTGTCTGTTCTTTCAGAACCAATGTTACAAAATTTAGCTTGTTTTTTGAGGGGGTTTTCACATATCAACTGAGTTTCATTTACTGTGATTGCAGTGTGGCGTAAGAAAAATTAGACAAAATTCCTGATTCTTACCTGTAAAGCCTGCTTCAGGTTTACTTGAAGCTATGAATACAAACAAAAATGTATTGCCAATAACAATTTATACTTATAACATATTTTAAAAGTGAAAATTATATCATTATAACATTTATTAATGATTACTGTTAAAATCTTTGAAATAACTTCCTTTGTAATTTTGGTGTATATACACTCCATCATACAAATTGCAAAACATATAAATCACATAATAGTTTTGGTACAGTAAGGAGATGCATCTCCATTATCAATAAATGAAAAAAAATGATATAAATATGCACATATTAATAATGGGAGTGTACCACTATATCAAAATTTATAAACCACACGATAATAAATTTGACAAAGTTACATCTCCATTACATTTTTAAAAAGATAAAAATGTGCAAATAATAATGGTTTTAAATAAATCTGCTTCAATACAGAATTATATTAATACCAATACACTGGCATTAATTTATAAATAATATGTTACACAAAGAGATTATATACTTTAAAAACATGCTTTATTACACAATAAATTCTAGCTTAATTCTTTTTGTATGTCTGTTGATGAAAACCATTAAAGATGCACTGTCTGTCAGAAGGCAGAAAAATGAAAATTTCAACACCATAATTGATCAATTTGTATATAAATTTAAGTAAGTTATTTAGTTTCATTTAAAATTTTGAATGTGAAACAAATGTCCCTGTCAATTAGGGTAAAGGTAAACGTAGGAGAATAACCCGTAACTTTCAGCGTCATTGTGCTGAATTGCATATGGGCGTGGTCCATGACTACCTAGCAGCCGTAAAGAGGCACTTATAGTAGCTACATATTCACATCATCCACAATGACAGGGGCTCAAATGAACCATAGCATCGGGGTAACCCCTACTCTTCCGAAAGATGCAATGGATTCTTTAAAGTGCACACGAGCCAGATGTATACACTGAGCCTCCATTTTAAGTCCTTATCCGAGAAGACTTGGTCCTACCAACCGAACCCAGGGCATAGTTAGCGCCACCCCTGTCTCTCCCCAAAAATACATTTGCTGTATTCTTTTACAGACTTCAAATTTGCTGGTAAGAAATTAAAAACATTTTGACGAAAAATCATTTCTTGTTGAGCCCTCATTTGTAAAAAATTAATAAATCAGTGATTATTTTTTTTAATCTGTTCCTAGTTGGAGGTTAATAGCCTACTTGATCCTTCTAAATAAGTTATTCAAGCTTTTAATTTAATTTTATAGGCAAATTAACTGGCAGACAGTGTATCGTTAATGGGCGATTCATAATTGTTGTTTACCTTCATAGACCTCTTCAAGAAAGCTTGCTTCATCACAAGGGGAATCAACTTTAACAGAAATAATGCACTGTGGGTAAATCCCTAGGTCTGCTAATTTGGTGTCATTCTTGTGGTTGGTGAGACAAACTCCATCCAGCATTAAGGTCTGATCAAATGGAGCTACTGAAAATGCATGCATCACCTAAACATGTTCAAAGGTAAAAAAAAAAAAAACATAAATAACAAACTAATAAGAAAACAGGTGGTATAAAAAAAATCAGCAGTGGTGTTGCCACAGAAATCAAAGAGAAGCCATACCCAATATGTTTTCATTGTATAAAATTTTTTTTTTTACAAAAGTTTAAATAATTTCAAATAATATTAAGTTTACAGTATCATTAAAAAATAAATACCTTCCAGCAATATTCACCAGGAAGTATGTCTGCAGTTAAGTACTTCTTAATAGCATCAACCAAAATATATTGTATAATCTACACTAGATTAAGTTATCTAAGTTCAACCTTTAGTAACAACCACTGTGTAAAAACTACATTAGGGATATGTATGTTTGTTTTCTTCATTTATGGATAATAAAGCTACCTTGTTTACCAATGAAAGGTAAGCATATCCACATTTCTGTCCTATTATCAACATAATCATCTTCTCTGTTACCTTAGAATTAGTTTTACCTGCCAGTACCTCAAACACCATTATTCTGAATATATAAAACCCTAAAGAAACAAGTCCATGATTACCCTCACATGGATGTGAATAAGTGTTGAACTTACCTTAACTTTTAATTCTTTCAGTGTATTGGTGGATGACACTACGACCTCTTTCTCACCTCTGACTCTCCGGTGCCTCGAACTTCTCCTTCCATTAGAAGTACTGTCATATAATTTTCTTTTTCTAGATTCATTTGAAAGCTATGAAAATAATGGGTTTTTTTAACTGCATTTGGGCATTCGCTTCAATTTTAGCATATTTTTAAATGTTAACCACATGCAGCACATACATTATTTAGTAAACACTAATAATTATTTTTTTTAATCAATAAAAAATGAAGGAATTCTCACATTTCAATTATCCAGCAAATATTAAGTTTATGACAAGAATATGTAAGAAATATTTTTCAGCCAATAATATAAAATTTCTATAAAATAAAAAATGTGTTGTCAGTCAACAAGTAAAATTGCATTCTGGCATATTAATAGCTATATGATTTTCACACAATATACTGTAGCTATCAAATTTTATTTTAGAATATATAATTTGAACTATTATTCTTTCAATTCCTCAAATGAATTTTATTGGAGGGAAGATTGATACCAGAAAATTATCACAAATCAGCATTCCAAAAAATTGTAGACCAGTTAGGAAATTAGGAAAAACGTGGGTTGCCAGCCACTGATGCATAGACTAAGTCAGGAAGAGCTATGCCTACGTTCTGCAACATGTGTTTCATTCAAGCATATTTTATCCCCCTAAATATGTGCAATACATATTTAAATTTTCAATAATTATTAACAAATTCTTACATTAAACATTATACAGTAAAACTTGACGGTATAATTTATAATGAATTCTTATATTGTACAGTCAAGTTTAACATTGAATATTTTTACTGAATAACATGTTTCCATATATATTATTGCCAAAAGTGATAGGGACAGACAAGATCTAATTGATTTTTGATGATTTCTGCAAGGTTTGTGACCCATCATAATATTTTAGCGACCAGTTTGAAGAACGTTGACACAAATTACCATGAAATCTTTTCATTAAATCTTATACTGCAGTAAATACAGATATGAAAGTATAATACATCCTCCAAGTATTGAAATACACGCCATCGTGTTGGGATTCAATATTTCGAC